AATGCAGCTGCCTGCTCCCTTCTTTACTCCACTCCTGGCCGGGCTGTGACTCTTCTAACTTTCCCACTGTTGTCCCTTGCTCTGATCAACTGAAAGCTGCCCAAGTGCTCTTGCAGTTCTGTCTACAGTTTTAGAAATTTCCTGTCAGATAGAACTCAGTAGCTTAGTTTTCTACACAGGGTCAGGACACATCCCAATTCTCTGTAACAACTTAACAAGACTGGCCTGTCCCCAGTTTCCAACAGAATTCTCATTTGTATCAAGAACTGTTTCCCTCCTCCCTTTGTCTTCACTAGACCCATTATATTCCCCACACAGGAGTCCAACCTCAACTACCCCCGGCTCAAAGCTGCTTCAACACGTTCATGTATAGACTAAAGTGGACCCATTCTTGGTACAAATTCTCGTTACTGATGTTTTGTTGCCAAAAATACTAGACTTGGGTTCTTTAGTTAGCATCGCTGTTGCTGTGACAAAACACTGATCAGAAGTTACTTGGGAAGGAAAGGGTTTATTTCATCTTCCAACTCCCAGGTTACAGTTCATCACTTAGGGAAGTCAGGGCAGGAGCTGAAGGACCACAGAGGAATGCTGCTTACTAGCTTGCTCAGTTACCTTTCTTATGTAGCCCAGGCTCACCTGCCAAGGGATGGCACACCAGTGGGCTGGGCCCTCCTATACCAATCAGCAATCAAGAAAAAGCCCCCACAGACAGACCCACAGGCCAATCTGATGGAGGAAATTCCTCAATTGAAGTTCATTTTTCCCAGATGTCTCTAGTTTGTGTCAAGTTGACAAACACTAACCAGCACACTGGATAAATTTTAAAGAAGGGTGGTTTATTTGGCCACTTTAGTGGCCACATCTTTTCTCCTCTTAGGACTCCTGCATGGAGGCTGTATCCTGACTACTGGTCTAATCCTCATCAGCTTTTAAAGATTCCACCTTGAATTACCATCTCTGGATTAATTTCCCACCCCCCCATGAAACAGGGTTAAATTTTATCACATGAACTAGAAGACACAGTCCAGCCACACCCAAACCACAGCAAGTTTCTTGATGAAAATCTGTATTTTTCTTTCCCACAACACGACTGTAAATAAAAATGGCCTTGTCTCCCATCGTGAAGATACAAACGACACGATCAGAAAAACACGTGGGTTAACCTTGGTGATTACAACAAGCTCTTGCTGCCTCAGGATACTGTGGTGTCAGTTCTCAGAATAACACAATTCTCCAGCACCCTGTCAAAGGTACCAATTAATCACTACAGAAGGCTAAGCCAAAGAAGCCAATTATTTTAAAAAGACACACAGAAGCATTTAAACTCCTAATTCTTCCGTTTCAGGAAACCAGTATGGAATTTGCAAATTCCCCATAATCTTATGAGACAAACTAACAGCAACGACAGGAGGAACAGTCCACCCAGCTTAGTCTCTCAGTGGACAGTAACATCAAGTTCATCCATGACAAGCACCAGCAGCCAGCATGGTTGCCCATCCAGCATCAGGATCATGAGCAGAGACCCCACTGGGCTTCCGCAGCAGTCACAGTGCCACAGGTTCCACCTGGCTGGTGGGCTGGGCTCAGTATTCAATTCCACAGCTGCAATCTAGTACACACAGACTGTGACCTGTACCTTGCTTGAGCCCACCATGGTGGTCACTGAATCAACAATGAGAACTCTACCAATCTCATTCCTGCAAGCAGTGGCAGCAATGTCTTGATAGGGAGCTAATTCCAAAATGCAGGTTGAAGAAACCAGAGAGGTAATGGGAAAGGAGCCTGAGAGAGAGGAATAGTAGGAAGCAGGAGGAAATGGGTAAAATGGGGGTATTTAACTGGGAGAGGAAGAGGGAGGGTTATACAAGGAACCATGGAGGTAAAGGGGAAGAAGGAGCTCAAAAGAGGGGGGGATCATAGGAGACAAGTTTTATCAAGGGTGAAATGGGGAGGGAGGAAGGAAGATTAGACAGGGAGAAAGAGAAAGAGGACAGATAAATGCTTAGAGCTGGTGTGAAAAACCAGAGGGAAATGTATTAGTTCAAAAGCCTACTGGAAAATTACAAATACAGTATCTTTACATGAGTGATTGCATACAGCTGAAGGCTATATAACAAGAGACTGTGCTAGACAGGAGAAACCTCCCTTTGAGAGATTGGTCAGGGTAGTCCAAGAGATTTCTAAAAATACACAGGCTATTGCCATAGCCTTTGACTGCCTCCCAGAACTTGAAGGTAAGACTCTATTGCTAAAGATAGGCCATACTTCAGATACAGGGCTTGGAGCAATGGAGCTGGAACTAACCTGGAAGCCTCCTCCCTGAAGACTAGCTCTCATAGTTTTGGAGGACACTATGCAAGCTGCTAATGGAGAACATCAACCAATGGTCCAACCCCGGCTTTAAAGCCTAATAGCCATAACAACTGACTGGCACAGCAAACTACTGGTGCAGTCGTGGCACTTTTATCTTGGGGGTAATCAACAGCTACCTAATTGGATTTAAAGGCCACTAAAAGAGAGGGAACTTGTGTGGCACTGTAGCCAAATACACATGGCTAGAGAGGTCACAGATCTTAGAGAAAATCCTAAGTCTCCATCACATCCCTAGACAAACATAATTTCTTATTGTATGCTAAAAATAGATCCTTGTATTTATAGACAAGTATACCAGTCACCACTCATCGAAGATGCTTCTTTTGCAATAGACAAGCGATTACTCTAGAGTCTCACAACTGGTCACAGACTGAGAATGAGTGTCTGTCTCTGAGATGTCCAACCCTAAGTGACATACCTACAACAGAATCCCTACACCTAAGGCTTATGGAACAAGGGGTAGAGAGAATACTAATGCATCTCTCAACTCTCATCAGTGAAGCCTCCTCATGAACAGAGGGCGATGAACACAAAGGCCACAAATGGCCAAAGTGTAGAGAATAAGAGCCTGCAGAGTGTGGGTCCTTGGACAAAACTCCTGTATTAAAGTTCACCCACCCAGGGTTGGGGACCATCACAGAAGAGGGTGTGGGAAGATTGTAAGAGCCAGAGGGGAAGGTGAATGACCATAAGGAAACAGTCTTACAGGCTCTTGGGACCTTGCTCATATGAACCTACAGTAATGGTGTCAGCATGCATAGGACCCATGCATGCAAACTAAATCAGAAAAAAACCCAGTACAGAATTCGGGAAATGGGCAGCAGCCCCCAATCTCAGCCAAGGAACTACTGACAGCTAATTATTGGTAGGTGAGGGAGGGTTGATCTTCTTTAAGGAAGAGACTGTATAGGCCGACCAGACCCAGTGGGTGAACTTGCACTGAGGGATATCTGGGTACACTAACTTGACTCCATAGGTCTTAACATATATAACAGAATGCATGAAATCAGGGTGGGGGCTAGAAGAGGGTAGAGATGGAGAAGGGGGTATAAAGATGTTTATTAAGATGCTTTGTATGAAATGCACAAAAATTCATTAAAAATATACATTAAAAAAGTGCCATAGACAGGGAAGTAATAAACCATAGGAGGATATTACTCATAATTCTGAGGGCTCGAAAAGTTTAAGGCAGATTTGGTGTCTGGTAAAGGGCGGCTTTCTGGTCCACAGACAGTGCCTTCTTACTCAGGCCTCCCATTGCCTGCCTCGCTTCTCCCCTCTCTCTGGGCTCCTCAACTCTATCTTCTCTGCCCAGGATACGCTCATGCTCAATCCAAAGCTCATGCTGTTTTCCTGCAAGCATTATCCTTTTTCTTAGAAGGAGTTAGATAGACCTCTCTTCCACTTCTTTTCTGCTACTTGGAAAATATTCTATGGAAATCATAAGAATGGATCCCATGAAAGAATCCAAGACATTAGTAGTGTGTAACAAGCTAAGAGAATTCTGGGTCACATGGTCTTTGGATAGTTCCAAATTATACTGCCCAACTTAGCAACAGAGGATCCTGAGCCATTTCTGTCCACATCCCTCTCTGGTTACTATTAAAAGCTTCCAAATAAGCATCCCTGCTTGAGCATCCCAGTTCTATAAATGGCCACAATAATGAAAACTGAAAACAAGAGGGAGGGTATGAGGAAGGGAGAGAGAAGGAAGGAGGGAGGGAACAAGTGACGACTCTTGATTCTTCTTTATCATACCATTCTCCATCTAGTCCCAGTTCCAGAATCTTTTGGTAAATTTATCATCCTTGGCTGGATTCCAGGGACTCTGATTCTAAAAATATGTCCTATAAACAAACAGACAAAAACATACAAGGTGTTTCTGAAGGACAAACAAACCTCAGGCGTCTGGCGTGTTCCTGTGATCAGAGCTCCTGGCACCTGGTCCATACCTTTGTGGGCATCTCCTCACGTTTCGGCTGCTGCCATGCAGGGCCAGTCTGCCTAGAAATGGGCTGCTTTAGCTTACTGCATCCTTCTTCAGTTTTATTTAAGAGGAAAATTAAAATCCCAACACAAGCCTTCAGAGTTCTTAATGAAAATGAGAGTTCCAAAGGCTTTTACTCAGTGAACCTTGCTAGATTCTACATGGGACAAATAGAACTTCTTAGGTTCTCCGTGGTTTGTGCTGCTAGAGGACTGACTCCAACATTATTCCAACCGTAAGTGAGTTCGGAAAACTTCATACAACAGGTAATAGAGGTTGAAAATCCCTAAACCCAAAATCTTCAGTGCTGACAGGACATGAGGATTCTTAAGACTCCGGAGCATTTCAGGTTTGGGATTCAGGGATATTCAAGCTGTATAGTCGATGAAAATTACTACCATGTTAATAAAAAAAATTCTGGTATGTGAAACACTTGGTATCAAGCATTTCAGATAAGAGACATACAATGTGTATCACAGGCATAGATAGATTCAGCCCAGGTTGCATATCATGGCTTCCAACAGCTGTGTATCAAGCTAGGTAGTGTGTCAACCAAGGAGGTTTCAAAATTCCTTAAACCAAACCCTCCATATTGTTTTCAGCAACCAAACGTCTTACACAAAGCAGAAAGTCAAGCTTTGTAACTGAAGGTCTGTGACTGAGGATTTTCAATATTTTATTAAAATAGCATATTTAATCATGGTTAACCAAGAATATGTTAACTTTGTTCCCCACCCCTCCTCCTGAATACGCAGCACAACACAGTAGTGATTTCAAATTATCCTTGATCAAGATAACCAGAGATATTTCAAAGTCAAGTTTGTAACTAAACACTAGACCTTGGGAAAATTCTGAATTAAAAAAGAAACATAAAGCTCTAAAACAGAATTCTTTCATCTGTCCCAAAATAAATGCCGGTGCACCACCCACCTGACAATACTGCTAAGATTTTTATTCTTATGCATAGTATAACGTCTCATTTATAAGTACCTACTTTTATAAATAAAATTGGCATTTTCATCCCATTTAATGTTCCTTTTCAGCTTCACAAAGAAACCAGTAAATAAAACTGTCAATGACAGTTACAACATACACTCTAACAGCAAGATAAAAAACCTGAAAATAGCGAGATGCATCTAGGCTATTTTACATAAAAAGATTCAAAAAGTGCAAGGCAAAGTCTAAGGTTTTGAGGGAACTTTTAGGCACATCCACGTCTTTAAAGCAAGCTTCAGAATGAAATTCCAGTTTGTTCTTCATGACACCTGTTTAAGTCCTTTAAAAAAATAATAAACAAAAACAAAAAGAATCTCACAAAAGTCCATCTCATCGAGTGTAAAACAGGGAGTCTCGTGTCCTAAGAGCCACTCAGTTATGGCGCGTCCGGCCCTTCTTTATTCTGGCAGGCTTTGGTTTGGGGATGTACTGGTTGTTAGCCTGGTACTCCAGTTCTTTCCGGAAGTAGTGAATGGCTTTATTCAGTCCTTCCTCCAGTGGGACCTGTTGGAGAGAGTGAGAGAGAGAGAGACAGGGTCACAGCAATAGAAAGGGTTCCTTGAAACAAACAGCAGGTCGCCCTGGACACATGAGCTTCTCTGAGGATACTCCAAGCTTCACTCTGGGCAGGAGTGTGCCAAGGCCACTTTGAAGAAGCCAGAGGTCCTCTAAAACTGCTTTTAGAATGCACTGTGTGATGGAGCACGTGACGCTGACTAACATAAAAAGAGACCTCAAGTCCCCAAAGCCCCTGTCCCCTCTTGCAGGTACACCTCCTCAGTTAAAAGATGCTTTTGAAACAGTGTGTGGGCCCACTCTTTCAGAAGAAGCCCCCTAAGGAGAGAAGGAAGGATGCTCTGAGGAGGCTGTGGGCACCTGCCCCACAGGTTGTCCCCCATGACCCCTCTGCACTGTCTATAGACAGTCCACTTGTGCTCCCATTGACTAGGCAGGCTGGGAAGGGGCCCATGAAAACAACACACCATATAAGTACTGTGAATTGGAGCTGCCTTGCAGCAAATAGGAGATGGAAATCAATCAGCTGCTGATTAAAAGGATAAAGAGAAAACTGTGGAAAAACCAGAACTGCAGTGCAATTGCTGGTGCGTGCCTGTGTCTGTCTGTCTTGACTGTGGTGATGGTTTCATAGGTGTCAAAACATATCAAAACATATACATTAAATATGGACATTTTCCTGTGTATTTTATATGAGACCTTAAAAGAAACAAACACAAAATTAGAGAAACTAATCAAACTGAAAAGCTTCTGCTCAGCAAAATAAAGAAGAAAATCCAAAGGCAACCTATCAAATGGAGAAAGCACCTGTCAGATACGTAGATGACCGTGAGCAAATGCAAGAATATGGAAGGACTTCAATGCAAAGAAGAAAAAACCAATAGACCTAAACAGGTATTTTTTTCAAAGAAAGACACAGAAACAGTCAACAGGCACGTGACAAACTTAGCACCAGAAAGTATCAGAATGTACACAAAAACCAGGAGTCACCTCTCCACCCAGTTCAAGTGGACATTATACCTCAAGAAGCTGTTCATAGTCACACGGTCATGTGTGCACACAAGCTGGGGATGACTCAGTTTCTTTGAATCAGACTCTCAAATACTTCTTATCAGTTAAAACTCCTAGCACAAGGAGAAGCTAATGGTAGATATCACATATTCTATGACTGTCCTAATGCTAGCTAACAAAATTCCAGACAAACACACACTCTTGCTGTACACATACCTCATGTAGTATAAAAGCAAGAGTTTATAAGCATTTAGTATCCTCCCCAAAATCTTTGGTTTAAAACGTACACTTTGCTAACAAAAGGACCAATGGCAATTTCTTAAAAGATAGGACCTGGCCCTCTGTTTTACAGTTTGTTTTGTACAGATGGGATTACTAGATTTTAAGTCTGGGCATATTCAATTTGATTTCATTTACCAATTTTCTGTCCTTTAGCAGATCTCTTAGACTCATCTCATAAGGTAGTACAAGAGTTGGACTAAAATTCTAAGATCCCTTCAGATTCCAACATTGTAGGACTCTAGCTCCTCAGCTTCATTGAGTCATATGTCCTCAAAAGGTAAGCTGAGCTCTGGGTAGGACTCTGCCTCCTGGTGGATGGTGCTTGGGTGCTCTCATGGTGAGGCAGAACTATCTGTCCTGTATTTACCCCTCCACTCAACACATCTGTTTCTGTGATGGCCGCTGGGACTGCTGATATGTATGAGGGCATACATCTCTGTCTGGGGGAAGCAGTCTCCAGAAGGGCACACAGGGCTGAGCAAACAGTAAATAGACAGACAGAGAGGATGGAAAGAGGTGGCAGGCCTGCGCAATTCTAAGGAGTGGCCTGGAAAGGACAGAGGCTCGAGGAGCCACACATGGTCCTGGATATGGGTGTTCAGGGACAAGAGAGGGGCAATCCACAATCTGCAGGAGGAGAAGGCAGGCTGGGACTGGGGGTCCAATAGCACAAGTAGAGCCTAGAAGTGAGGGAAAGGGAGGTGGCTGCACCTCACAGTGTCTGGCAGGCATGTGAAAGTTCTGACAGTCTAGAAGCCCCAGGAAGGTGGTTTCTATGCTTCCAAGCTAGGCTTCCATCAGCATGGGGGCAAAAAGGAATCAGCCCCCATCTCATCTCTGTTCACACAGAAACCAACCCCAGCCCAACCCAGCCGGGATACTAGGGTCCCCAGGAGGTATCCATGACACATGCTGCTGTCACCACTGGATGGTCTGAATGCGAAATGCTGTCAGCTTGGGCTGCTATTTAATAGGCTGCAGATCCTTTAGGAAGTGGCTGGCTCGCAGAACCAGGTTGCTGCACAGGCCTTTGACAGTTCTGCCTTCCCTGGTCCTGCCCTGTATTCTTTGCTTCCTATCCCTTCAATGTGAGAAGCTCCTGCCATGGACTGAGCAGCTCTTGCTGTCTGCCCTCCTTGCCGTGATGGACTGAAATCCCTTGAAACTGTGAGCCAAAGTAAGACCTTTCCTCCCTTTAAGTTGCTCACTAAGGTATTTTGTAACAGTAATGACAAAAACAACTAATACGCCCTCCTCAACAGTGCCCTTAGGGATGGAAGTGTGACTTAGTTTTAACTGTCAAACTGACAGAGTCTAGCATCACCTGGAAGGGTCTCAATTGAGTAACTGTGTCTTTATCAGATTGGTCTGTGGACATGTCTGTGAGGAAGTGCCTTACTTTCTTACCAGATGCAGAAGATCCAACAGGGGGTACCATTCCCTGGGCAGGTGGTCACAGGCTATATAAGAAAGCTGGCTAAGGATAAGCGTATGAGCAAGGAGCCAGAGAGTGAGCCAGCACTCAGCATTCCCCCAAGGCTTCTGCTCCAGGTCCCTGCCCTGGCTCCCCTCAGTCAGGGACTGTGACTTGCAAGTGTAAGCCAAATAAAACATTTCCTCCTCAAGTTGCTTTTGGTTAAAGTGTTTATCCCAACAACAGAACAAGGTGTGTAATTTCAGGAAAACAGAGCTCACAGGAGGCCCAAGTCATTTTCTCTAACAGAGGATGAGATACTACTAAAAAACGCTGCATCTGCATGGATGCCCAAGTCTACTCACTCCACCACAAGCCTCCCAACAAGGGCCAATGTAGGAGATATTGAATGGACACGGAGGTGGGAGGCCTTTTCTCCGGAGGCAGTGACTCTTTGTACCTACCACAGGCTCCCATCCCAACATCAGCTTTGCTTTTTTGATGTCTGGTTTTCTTTTCTGTGGGTCATCCTGGGCTTCAGAGAGAAACTGAATTTCACTTCCACTACCTGAGTTTAAAAAAAAAAGAAAGAAAAGAGTGAATTCCAGACCACTCGGGTGCTGTTTAGCATCCACAACAGAGGAAAAGCCCATCTATGGGGCCACAAGAACAAAAGGGACCAAGTCAAGGCCAACCCTCCATACCAGGTAACATGAAGATGGGCCAACAGGTACAGTTCCCTTATATACAAAAAGCATAAATGTGGGATGGAGCCATCTCAAAGGTGGATGCTCCCAGCGGGCCATACTTGGGTACCAGGCTCTAGGAATTCCCTCCCCTCAAATCAGGGGCCTTCACCTTGTTTAACCAGAGTGTAGCAGGGTAACACTGAGCTCACGTCCAGCCAGAGCAGGCCCATTGCCAGCATATAAGATGTCCAGCTGTGCTGCTGGAACAACCATATGGAGGACAGAAAAGCCTAGCTGGCCTAGCACCCTAGGAGGGCCTGGGTCCTAGTGACAACAGAAGAAAGCTACTACAGTGACCATCAGGTGGACCTGCAGCAAAAAATCCCCAGTTGGTCTTGATGACAGAAGAGAAGAAAAAGAAAAGTAAAAAGGAAAGAAAAGACCAGGGAAGTTGTAATACAACCACACAGCAACATGGTGGGCTCCAGCCTTCTCAGATTATTGTCAGGATTTCCAAATTCAAAGTGCACATGGGTCCCTGGAGCAGCTTGTCAGGCTACAAACTCTGATCCAGGAGACCAGAGCTCCAGTCCCCAGTGCCAGTAAGTGCCCAAAGGACACTGATGCTTCTGGCCCATGGCTTCAATCTGGACTTCAAAGGCATTGTGACTGGTGACACATGGTAACTGGAGCCTAATGGGTGGGAATGCACAGCAGGGGAGTGAGTCTGAGTGGGGAAGCTAGAGCCACACAACTCTGCGGGTTAGGATTATGTGGCAAGATTTCCATCCCCATTGTCACACGGAACAACGTTCCAGCTATCCAAAGCCAATTACAACAGCCCTGAGCCAGGAATGCCAAGTCAGAGGAGTCCATTCAGCCAGAGACACAAGAGGGTCCATTCAGAGCATTGGGCATCCTGGTCAAGCTACTAAGACAGACTAGAGTGACCTGAACTCAAATTTTTGGATCAACTCAGAAAAAAAGATGCTAGACCAGAGTTTTTAGAGTTCTAGCCAGCCTGAGAGGGAGGCCAAGGGCTCACCTCCTTGTCACCTGCAACCCAAAGGCTGGCCCAGATCCCAGGAATATCCCTTGATGGAAAGACTAATATCACACAGCCTTCAGTAGCAGCCAGCCTAGCCAGACCAGTTCACCATAAGCTAACATCACTTTCTCCTGATCCCTGGAATTTGGTCTCAACAGGAGAAGGGTTTGGAAAGTAATTGTCATCTGTGCAGGATGTCCTAACAAATGTGTCAGACTCCAAAACCAATCCCTGCCTCCCACTCCAGAGACCTGCAATTAGACCTGGGAGCCAAACCCAGCCCAATCCCTCCTCTTTCTAGACCCACTCAAAAAATTAGAAAACACATGTTCCTCATGAAAAGCATTGCTGTGATCCACTCTAATCAGCTGTGCTAATTACCTACTTTTTAGTTAAAGTGCTACTAGCAGACAGGGTAAACACAGTTGAGTTCATTCAGAGTGGTTTAGATACTTACCAACAAGGTTTTTAATTAACTGAGCAAATTCCAGGATAGTGTGTTCCTCTGGGTTCCCCTAAAGAAGAAATGGAATCTCATAATACTGTAATGACCACAGCAGTAGCTCCCCACTGGGGCCACACGCACACCATCAGACTTGGGCCATGCATCAGCCCTCAGACTGGCCTTCCTCCAAGTAACTTCACTCCTGTTTCCTGTCTCAAAGAACTTCTGGGATGATGGTTATTCAACCTGGCCAGGTGTACCACCCTTACCTTAGACCTCAGTATGTCTGTTCCCAAGAAGAGCCTTCGGGTAGGTCAAGGGCATATAAGGTAGAAACACACATACTAGGTTTCTGTAACTTTAGTTGTCATTTTGCATGTTTGGCTTTATATTACCAGCTCTCCTAAGACAACACATTTCCTCTAAATGCATTGCACCAATACCTTCCACAATGTGGAGCTTGTGATCTTACGGAGAAAGCTAGGACAGCTTCCATAAGCTTTATGAAGCCAGCTTATTTGGTGTGACAAAAAAAAAAAAATAAAAAAAAACAAACCTGTCTTTTCCTTCCATCACATGCTGTGACAACTACTCCCTTCTTCATTCTTGCAGGACTGGAGATGGAACCCAGGGCCTTGCCCATGCTAGGCTAGTGCTCTACCACTGAGCTATCCTATCGCTCTTCTTCTACAAGCACCACCCCAATCACAGGAGACCATGGGAAAGTCTGGCAACTATGAATTCTAATTCTCTCTGCTCTCGATTTTCTAGGTTAGCCTGAACTCAGATGCTGAAGGTGGTGAGAAGGTGCTGGGTGCAACTGTAGGCACGCAAAAGAACCCAGACTGGCAGAATAGGGAGATGGAACTTGGGAGGAGGGGACTCTGCCTTTACTGGGACTCGTGGCAGACACATTTCTGATTTTAGGGAAGATAGGGTTCTAAACTGATGAGAACACCTCAATATTCTTGTGCAAAGGCTTCCTAAAGAAAGGAAAGGCACATGGTATTCCACAGGACAGAGTATAGCTGGTCAGGGAAGTCATTTTAAAAGGACATGTGGCATAAACCCTGGGGCAGGGCCTTCTACCACAAGCTTCTACTCATTTGGAGCTTTTGCCCACCTGACACTGTAGCAGGAAGAGATGAAGGAGGAGCAAGAAGCCACAGAGGAGGATCCTTAGGACCCTTAGACAAGGCCCCTCAGGCAGAGGTAGTCTGTCTAGTGTTCTCTGCATTGCTCACCCATACTTTGCAAGCATCTTACCTTGCTTTCTTTTCTTGTATTTAACAAATGCCCTTTATAAGTCTGGGGCAAGCAAAGGGAACCTTTCACAAAAGATGCTATAGCTGTCACCAGGAGGGAGAAGGCAGAGTGGCACTCACCAGGTTGACAGGGCTGCTGACATTGCTATTCATGAGTACCACCAGGCCATTCACCAGGTCACTGGAAAAGAAGGAGAGTTGAGTCAGGCATGACCTGCCAGGGCTTCCTGAGTGCTGAGGGCACGCACCAGCCCTCCCTGGACGAAACAAAAACCCAAATGGAAACAAATGTTGAAATAAAATCCTGCAAATTAAAATGCATGTAATGCCAGCATGTCCATGGATGAAATGACACCTATGGCGCCTGGGATTTGCTTTCATGAGTGTGGTGGGGCAGGAAACAGGGTGGAAGCAGAGTGATGGCTTAAGGCTGCCCTTTCTGTGCCTTTCTGAAAATCTCTGAAAAACAATCAATAACCAAAAGCAAGTTAAGGTAGGTATGTATCCCCCCAAAATGGAATTTGCAGAGTTTCTGATGAAATCCAATGTTTAATGTGAACCCACATTAGCTGACGAGAACAAAAGTATGATTATTTTATAAAATGAAAACTCCACGGAAATGAATGGACTCCAGTATGTACAGTCCATACTGGCAAATCACAGAGAAAGCCAACAATACTGACCACTGACACCAACAGAACGCTGCTCCGACCCCATAACCATCAGCCCACCCCAAAAACGTCCTATGAAGCTGCCGGGGCATCTGGATGTTTCAGATGGATTGTGATCGACTGAGCCATGAAAGTGAAGATAAGTAAGCAAATTTCCGCTTACCAAGGTTTGGTTCTTATTTTCAGAAGCTTTAAAGTGTGGCTCTGTTAAAAAAAAGTTACTTCGTAAAAATGACACCTCACTGCTAAGTGCAAGCGCTCACTTCTTAATGAAGCCCACTTTGAAACCTCTCCCTCCAGCATTACCAGCAAGGAGCAGGTCACTACAGGTCATGATCGACTTCCACAAGAAAACCCAAAATAGTTTTATTTTTAATTGGAAAACTTTTTCTTGGTGTGCTATTTAGTAAGGTTATTTCTGCTTTTCCATTTTCAACAAATGGGTGTTTTATATAGCCATACTAACCATTCTCTTCTCATAGATCAAGTGCAAATGCAAATCATTTTTGACCTTAGGTGGTTTCTTTTCTAACAGAAACTGGCAAAAAGTCACTTCATCACCATGGCAGAAATCACTACATCGGCAATGCATTCTCTTACGGCATTCATCTGTGTTTGTAAAGAGACATTAAAAGCTGCCATTCAGGAACACCCACAATGGGTCTTAATGTTGAAACTGAGAGTGAGACATATGGTTGGAAGAAGATGGCTGATACTTAAGCATCCTCCTTGGAAGAGGACAAAGGAAAAGTCACATACCTTTTATATAGTAAGTTGGCAACTTTTAAGGTCAAAATTGGTCACGCTCATTTAACCTCAAGCTCTTTAACAGTGTCATTTTGACAAAGTGACTTTTTAAAAACTATACAGCATGCCTTTGTTATGTGAATGAGGACATAACCCAGCCATGAAAACATCAGTCACGTCATGCCAGATGCCAATGTAGATGACCACCTAGGCCTTGGGTTCCTGCAGTGTTGTCGAGGCAACCGGGGCTCAGGGGAACAGTTAGCTAAATAAAGACTATGACTATAGATTCAAACACCCTGCCCTTTAAGTAAAAGATTTTCAGTTTCTAAAAACAAAATGGTTTGTAAAAAATAGCAAATATCTGATCAGTTCTCAGCTGAGATTTAAATTGTGGAACGTATACATCAGGAACTGAACCCCAATGTGGCAAAGTCCTTGAGGCCTGGTCACCTCAGACACTCAATGGGGTAATATAGCAACACCACGGAGAGAGGGTTTGCTGAAAGGGTTCACACATGGGAACAGTCTGGAAACTACCTCTCCACTTTCCACCTTGTCAGTTGGTTTGCTGACCATGCAGGTGACAGCAACTAGGTGTGAGCTGTGGCTATCACGGAGCTGGTGTCATGGCAGGCTTTGCTCTGAGCTGGGATGGTTTACAGCACTGGCATCACTGGATTCTTAAAGTATTCTAATCACTTGCCCTCTCTGTCCTCACCAAAAGTATCTGAAGTTACTTGGATGAATTTCATATGGGGTGCCGGAGGCAGAGTGACCAGTCAGAAGAAAAGCCTCTAACTGGTAGATTGCATCAGTTCTCCTGATACTTCACATGGTATGGGAGCTGGGAGAGTCTGGAGCCATTGGTTATGTAGTTCAAGGTGAGGCTGTGAAGACATTAAGACCCTGAAGCACATGACTGGGGTGAGGGAGGATGGAATGAAAATCACTATTATTATGAAGAGATGGCTCCCAATACAGCAAAATCTGGCTGGTATAGTCCTGCAACAGAAATGTGCTCCAATAAGTTCCTTCAAGCACAGTGGGCCTGAGCTCTCTCAATGCTCTGAAACAGAAACTGTCCTGAAGGAGGGACAGCCAGTTTTCCTCTGTGAAACTGCCTCCTGGAATAGCTAACATATTTGGGTAACACATGACCAGCTAAGTCTCCTGATCAGGCTTTTGGCTGTGTTTGGTGAGATGCTGGTGGGTAGGGAAAACAAATGCTGACTGTGGAATACTGGATTCATGGCTTCATCTGGACCAAATGTAAGAATTTATATACGTTCAGGAAAGATCTATACTGGTGGTTTTTATTTTTTTTTAAAGTAGCATTTTATATATCCAGGTCCCTCACCCAATCAGACAAAAGCACCATGGCTCCTCTAGCTGAGGCCGGGCAGAGGGCTGCCCAGACCTTCACCCCACAGCTACCACCTCAGCCCACAGTGCCCCTTAATGGCCCTAAGACACCTGGGATTGCATTTCTTGATGGAGAGGCTTTCTGGGGTATTTGTCTCAAAGAGCAAAAATACATCATATCAAATATGAAAGTGAGTTTTACAATGATTGAGGGTACCAGAAACTTTGACAGAATTTAAAACAGTCATATAAGGTGTCGAGTACTTCAATATGGTAACTGCTTATGATTACCACCTGCATTGAATAACAAAATTCCATGTAGAAGGATTCCAGAGCCAGCAATAAAAATCATCAAGTGAAACTAGTCTAAAGAACATGTTTCTGTCTCTGTTTCAACACAAGGCTTGCCATTAAAACAGTCTTTTATCTCAAACCCTTAACTCTCTTCATCCTAGCAATCCTTTTTTTTTTTTTTTCTTTAAATGGATTAGATTTGTGAATCTGCAGGTTTGGTGGGTGACTAAGGTCATTTCTTAATTGGCTTTCAGAGTTAATTATGCAAGTCACCCTCAGGTCTAGGCAACTTATCTATGCAACACCAGGTGGCAGTAAAGGATCAGCTAGGCGTCACAGAAGTGCTGCGATGAATGTTAACTTTTAAACAGAAAAGCAAGAGGTTCCCCCATCATAATATGAAAATTAATGTAAAATTTAGTTGCGCTGTGGAAATAACTAACACATACAATATACAATGGACTGTCACTGCCTTCCCCTACTCTAACCAGGGTTAAGGCTGAGAGTCTTACCTGACATACTGGAATGCCCTTGTCTGAGACCCGGATCCATATACCTAGAAGGAAACCAAGAGTTAGATCCTTGGAGAAAAGTGATCCTGACACCATTAGTGATTCCTTGGAATTCTGTAGGTCTGACTTCAGAACTGACCCCTGAAGGGTCAGTGACATTGGCTCAAAGTATCTTGTGCCACATCTCAAACGCTGTGCTTCTGCATTAACAATGTGAGTCACAATTGTGTGCACATCTATGAAATTTTTCCTCAAAAGACAGTGTTCAAAGAACTGGCTTTTCTCCAGGTCTTAGGATGTGCCAGGAACTATGTGAGGCTCTGAGGACTGTAATCTCAGAGTCCAGTTGAGTATCAAGACATTCTCTCTTTCCCTCTCCCCCTCCCTCTCTCTCTCACACACGGAGTAATATGGGCAACATTAAATGGGGGCTCTCCACCCTGGAAGCCCATCACAAGGGCTAGAACTCTGTCTGCATAGGTCAGTAGACTCTGGGGCTGAGGCTGAGTTGTCTGAAGTTATACAGCTGGCTCCCAGGGGACTCCAAAATGTGACCAAGAACAAGCTGAGAATTCTCCAGAAGACTAATGGGAGTCAAGAGGCACAGGCTTAGAACGGCTTTAAGCCCCCAAGCCAGGAACTAAGTCAGAAGACCTGAATGCTTACAAAAAGCATGACAAAAATCCAGCTGTTAAAATCAGTTAGCAATAGCCACCATATGGTCCTGCCTAGTGGCACAACTGCCTGTAAGGGTAGTGGCCCTTCCTTTATGACTGGGTCTTTCTGCATAGTTGTTTGGCCTTGGCTGCACAGCTGCACTCCTTTGCCCTAAAAGTACCAACACCCAAGCACCAGCTGCAGTCAGATTTAGTTGGTTTGGGTGGACTGGGTTCATTATTCTTTAAGCTCCTAGAATGATTCCAGGGTATAGGCAAGGCTCAGAACCACTTAGCACACACTAGAACCTCCCTGGCCCCGACGGGGCTTACTAAAACACAGACAGTTCACTTCCGATCCAAAACGATGGAACTGGAGCCCAAGAATTCATTTTTCTAAAACCTCTGATGGTGATGCTGATGGTCCTTGGTTCATGCTCTGAGAACATTTGCTCTAAGCCAAGAACTGAGTCAGAGGACTTGGATGTTTACAAAACTTCCACACAACAGGAATGTGGCTACATTGTTATGGAGGTCATTCTTGTCTTGATTTTTATATACTGAATAAAGGAATACTAGGAAATACTGTCCCAGGTGTCACAGGGCCATCAAGGGGTCCTGAAGGGTGAGGTGGTAGCTATGGGGCACAAGTGTGGGAAGCTCCTAGCCCTGCCTCGGCTGCAGCAACCATGGGGCTTTTTTCTGATTAGGTGAGGGGTAGAAGTCCCTTAGAAAAATGGAAATGCTACTTAAAATTCAATTAAAAAGTTAAAGCAATCAGTATGGATTTTCCCTAAAGTAAGGAGGGAAAGTCAGCTGGCATGGCCTGACTGCCATGTTTAACAGCAGGTGTGGGACTGCTGGTTGTTCTCAACATGTGACTGCACTTGCCAAATTTAGAGTCTATCAGTGTTTCCCACGTCACTCCACAGCCATTCCACACACAAGCAGTCACACAGCTAACAGATTGTGCACTTACTCTATGACAGGTATGAGGTAAGACTTCACGGCCATTCTTTCTGTCATTCTCATGACAACCCATGAAGTAGTTGCTTTACTTTCCTACTTTACAGACTGAGGAGTCTGCAACACAAATACAGCATGTCCAGGTGCTGTGCCGTACCACCTTGCCATGGCTCACTCTTCTCTCTGCTGGGGCTATGAATCTTCTGAGGTTGGATCCACTTCCTGTTGGAGTGCTACTCATCTGCTAGGGCCCAGCTCTGATGACACTGCTAGGAGAAGCTGATGCTGATTGTCCACTCCACGTGCCAACTCCTCCATCTGTGAGCTCCTGGGACAGGCCCCTCTGTGCACTACTGAAGCCTAACACAGTGCCCAGCACAACTGGGCACAAGATGAATGTTTCCTGAACAATAACCCAGTGAACTAGGTCTTAATACATGTAGAGTGTTCCTTATCTGAAATGCACCAGGTTTTTTGTTTGTTTCTATATTTTTCTCCTATTCTGGAACATTTGCACAAGCATAATGAGATACTTTGGAGATTAAGACCTAAGCCAAACATGAAATTTTTGTTTCCTGTATACCTATACACATAGCCCAAAGATAATTTTATGCAATAATTTTAGTATGTCTGCATTTTGATAACATAAGACCAAGCACACAACTTTCCATTCAGAATGTCGTGTCAGCACTCAGAAAATTTTGGATTTTGGAGCATTTCAGTTATGGGTCTTAGGACTGGGAATACTCAGAATGAAGACTGAAGCAGAGGTTCTTTATTCCCTAACCTCTAATCACAGGGAGAATGAGCCACTGGAGTTTCTGTTCACTTGCCTGCTTTGGTGACCGAGTGCAGCTTGGACAATGACTGCCAAACCTAATTATAATAATCCAGTGCCCCTTCGCACATCCCACCCCAGCTACAAAGACAGCCCCAACCCCCATGGCCTCCCCCAGTCCTACTTCCAATAGCTCATTCCACCAGATGTGAGCAGGAAAAAAGGAAGCAGTGTGTGATGAGGAAAAGCATGGTTGGTACAGCCTGTTTTATTTATTTTTTAACATTTAAAAATACTTTATTTATTTTTTTTATGTGTATGAATGTATTGCCTGTATGTACGTATGTATGTAAGTGCACCAATGCCATGCAATGTCCATGGAGGTCTGAAGAGGTTGTTTGATCCCCTGGAACTGGAGTTAGGGATAGTTGTTAGCCACCATATAGGTGCTGGGAATCAATCTCCTCAAGCCTCGATGGTTCAGTGAGGGCACCTCTCTGGCCTCAATAACACCCTGATACACTTGTCTGCAGGTCAGAAGCTACACCTTGTCCACAGGGCTGACACAGAACGGGTACTCAGCAAGACCCCTGTGAGCACTGCAGGGTCTGAATTGACAGTGAGCGTGCACAGCCCCACACTCTGTACTGTCCTCGTTGGCCCTCTGGCTTCATCTTACATGAGACAGATGCAAGGCGATCTGAAGACTCAAAGTCACTCTTAGTGGACCAAGTGCTGTGTGTGGGTCAGGAAGCATGGTGACCTAAGAGTCACTAAGATGGAAGGAAGTAGGGGGACACCAGAGTCCCAAAGGAGCTCTCTGTTGACTGCATGGTACTGTCTTCTACCACTGTGTGCCACATACTTAAGATGTGACCATCTGCTAACCAATCTTCAGTCAGGTTCCAAAAGTTCTCCTAGGCCCGGTTGTGTACTTCTCAAAAACCCTGCTGACTCAGTCCAGCAAGAATTCCTACTCTCATATCCAGTCAGGTGTCTCGTTCCTCTCCATTTCCCCAAAGCTGGTCCTTCAACAAGAATCCCGTTAGGTCAGTTCAGTCAGGACACCCTGCCTCCAATGCTTCCTCACCATTGTATCTACTGATTCCCACTCTGCTCCTCGACTGAGTCTCCGCTTGTCAGAGCTATACTGGATCTTTGGCACATTGCCCCCCCCCACTTTTATATGAACCATCTGACAAGGGTTAAGAAATGGTATCTCGACTGGACAGAAAATCATGAGAAGTTCTTGATGGGAAAGAGAATTCTGTATAACAAAAGAAACAAAACAGTCTTCAGGCCTCCCACCCAGGCATCTAGGAAAGAGGGAAGCCTGGCAGGTTCTGGATTAATGGCACTCGGATGGCACCAGCGATCTTGTCCTTCCCATCTCTGGCACAGAGGCATGCTGGGCCTGAAGACAACGCATGAATTATTACCTCTGCCAACAACTGTGCATTTTTGAGGCTGCCAAGGGACTTGCTCTCCTCCCTTATGTGAGGCCCTTGAAGCTGCCAAGGAGATAATAAATTGAGAAGCTGTTTCATGGAACTAAAGGGTTTTCTCCACAAACAAGGCAGCTTTGATCTCCTGGTGTGAGGAAGTCACTGAACAGGGTGACTGAAATGGCATTAGGGATGTCTTCCCTAAAGACAGAGGAGAGATCCCAGGAAAAGCCCATTTGAACCCAAATACAGTTGTCTCTCAGTTTCCATGGGGCCTGGTTCTTGAATCCTCCACAGGTATCAAAGTCCACAATGGCTAGGCCTCTTCTGTGAAATGGTGCAGAATTTGTACAGGAACTATGCACATCCTTCATGTGTTTTGATTTCTAGATTAATATTGCCTTAGGGAATGAAAAGGGAAAATAAAGTTTGTACACATTTGGTCTGTGCATCACATTTTCCAATCTTTTGACCTGCAATTGGTTGAATCTGGAGCTGGAGAACCTGTGGATAGAGGCCAGATGATACAGCAAGAGGGACATGGAAGACAGGTTCACCTGGTGGTCATGCTTCTGAGGCAGACCAAGAGCTGCTGTCACTTACTACAACAGAAAGCCATCACCAAACAGTGGGTGGCCAAGGACACAGCTGTGAATGGAACAAAGGTCCTGGTTTCAAGAGTTAATGTGATACTAGCAGGGGTAGGGCTGGAAACTTAGTATTTCAGTTGGTGGCAAATGCAATGAAAGTAAAAGCGTGGTTACTGAAAGCCAGGTGTTGTCTTCTGAAAGGGTTCCAGAAGGCATCCTTAAAGAGTGACTGGAGGGAATGCCCAGGGCAACACTAGGAGAGGAGCTGAGTGGGTCAGCCTGGAGTAGAGAGCAGGGAGGGTGGGAGTGCTGGGATAGGTTTGTGGCTTATATTCTCCCTAAAATGAAAGTTCTTTGGGTTTCCATACTCTTCACAAGGCTGGCTCCAGGCCAGGCTGAGAGAAAGTGAACAGGGAGAACAAGGGTGGTCCTGCTGCAGTGATCAGGACACTATAGGTAGATGGGGAGCCAGGCCATCAGGATATGCTAGTGGATACCATGAGTGTGGGAAGAAGGGCCATGTGTGAAGACAGCACCTCCATTAAGGGGTACCAAGATGCCACACAGGGAGAGGAAGAGAGCTGGCTTGGAAATTAGAACCCAGAGATGGGGTCTGGACTTACCCTTTTCCTGGAATGTGTTTATTAAAACGCACCTGCACAGTGTGCCTGTTTCGGGAGGGCACCCCACTGTGGCACACAGGAGGCATTGTTCTACATTAGTAGAAGAGCTAACACACATGAAGGACACACCACAGAGAAGGGATTCAGAGGGGAGCCCCAGATCTAAAACCAGGCTGTCACTGGCCCAAGAAACCGTCACACTTTAATGTTGGCACCTCATTCTCCTCACTTGGAAAGTGAGGAGAGGAAGGTAAGGCACCTGTACCACCTATTGTGGGCATAAAATGAGTTAACAGACATAAATATCACAGAACGGAAAATAGGGAGCTGACTCTAATTGATCAATCCATTAGTAGATGGGTATATATGTACATGTCCCTGATTTATGATGATTCAACTTTATTTTGGGGTCACTTCACCTGCATGAAACCCCTAAGTCAAGGTGCATATGGATTCAGGATGGCTTGACCTATAATTTTATGACTTAGTGGTGGGTTTATCAGGAGGCAGCCTTGTAGAAAGTTAAAGAATAACCAAACAACCATAACACTTATCCCCCTGAAAGGTAATCAGGAAGTAGGGTGGGGGTGACTACTCACAGGATAAAATATCCGCTACATAAACATAAGGACTTGAATTTGGATGCCCTGCACCCACATAAAAACCCAGGTGTGGCAGTGTACACCTGTAATTCCAGCACAGGAGAGCCAGAGGTAGGAGTATCCTAGAGGCTCTCTGGCCAGCAAGCCTATCTACTGGTTAGCTCCAGTTCAGTGAGACCCTTCCTCAAAAAAACAAGGTAGAGAGCAATAAAGGAGGAGCCTGACATTAACCTCTGGCCTCCATATGCATGCATGGGCACGTGTGACTGGAGAATGTTCCTCTGACCCTGTGAAGACAAGCCATGGACCTGCCTCCTTCCCACGCTCTGCAAAGAAGCCACTCCCCTTCCCTCTTCCAGCCAATTGGTTGACCATAGCTAATAGCAGGGGAGGGGCTAAGGGTATAAACCTGGGAAAACCATGAGGCTGGTCTCTCCTTTGTAAGGCTGTCCAGAACCACAGGATTTATGTCTGGGTGTAGACTTTCAAACACAGCCATGAATTGGGCGGGGGGGGGGGGCTGCTTGTCTGTCAGTAAACCTGCACCCCAAGCTCAGTCAGCAAGTCCAATAAACTCGTTAAAATTCTTCAAACCGGGGTTTGGAGAATTTTTTTCTCAGGTTGTCATAAGAACGGTGGGAGGGAATTGGATGCCGTGTGCACCTCCCAGCAGTGAATGTAACTTACAGCACCTGTTCTCACACATGGACACACACACACACACACACACACACACACACACACACACACACACAATTATAAGCAAACCATTGTGCAGAATTTCAGAGGAAAAGAATGTGTATCTCTTACAGATAAAAAAAGCAAACAAATAGAGGCAGACCACCTGGGAAAGGACTGGAAAAGCCAGAGGAGAGGGAGGCAGCAGAGGAGGGGGCAGCCAGGAGGATTCAGCAAAACAAGGAAATCCAACCAAGATTATAACAGGCCAGGGCTGCTGCTCCCCAGGCAGGTGAGAGAGCTGGGAATGGGTGTGGAGTGGGTAGCTGTTCTCCAGATGGTACCCTCTCCTGAGGGCTCCTCAGCAACACAAATATCCTCATTTTTAACCACATATTCAAACCACTGAGCCCAGACTATGAGCTCTCCATTGCATTCAAACAGCCCCTAGAAGTGAGCTGGGTAACTGTCATCCTTACCAATAAAAGTGCCCAGACCTGACATGGCCATGGATCAACTTCCTTCCCACCCTGACCTACACCTTCCCAGTTACTCAAGGCCCACATTTACTCACATCCCTGACCTTTACCAGGAGGCCAAGAAAACAGCAGGGAGAGTTTAAACAGGCCACCTGGCACAGGGGTGCAGTGTAAATGCAGCGGGCATCCAAACTGAGGCTCACTCTGAGGCCATTCCTGGTCTGTCTTCTGTCCATGTGCCTTTGTCCCCTTCATGAAGGTAGCAGAGATATACATGAGTATCAAAAGGCAACTCTGGGAACATTGCTCCCTGAATCAACTCAGCTGTCCTTCACTGTTGTGGGCTGATGCCCCATTGGGTTATACATTGTGCCTGGGCCCAGTGAGCAGCACTCACCGTGAGCGGCTCCCCCTGCAGTGCCTGCAGGATGAAGTTGCTGACAACCCTCCCGTCGTTCATGTGCATGCGTGGTCCAAAGGTGTTGAAGATTCTCGCTACCCGTACTTCCACACCTTCCTGGAACAGAGAAAAGGGTGTAAGGCACGCCTTCCCTCAATGTGAGCCTGCGTCTGTAGTTCGAGTGCCCTGTGTGGCTAGAGAACAGGCTGTTTTTCCTTCCCCAAAGAATATGCCTCTTCAGTTCTGTATCTATAATGTGCTCATCATAAAGCAATTGGGAGCTGCAGAGCTACATCAAAGACAAAGCTGTCCCCGATTTTACTGTGTGAAGGCTGGCAGTGTCAACATTCTGGAGAGAAGCTGTGGGGGCTGCTGGTTGTATAAGAATAAAGTGTTCAGGCAGAGGCAGGACACTGTGAGTTCCTGGCCAGCCTGGTCTACATAGTGAGTTCCAGGACAGCTGGGGCTACAGGGAGACCCTGTCTCAAAAAGACCAAGAAAATCCAAACCAAACCAAACCAAAGAATAAAGTGTTCATGTAAATTGTTCCCTGACAAGTGCCCATTTTCCAATATGGGGTCAGACCCTGAAATTTACTAAAGCAACTTCTATCTGTGGAACTCATGAAGGAAAACAGAGCATATGCTAGTTATAAATCTCAAGTTGCAAAAGTTATAGCCATGAACATGCTAAGTGCCTGGTTTAGGTGGAAATTATAGAGGGCAGACTAACCAGTGGTTCCAGGGATCCACAAGCGATCTTGGAACAAATCCCCATGGATAGAGGGGGCTGATGTAGTAAAGAGGGGTAAGAAGAAGGGGTAGAGATGCTGTTCTCAACAAAGAATATCTCAGAAGTGTCCATCTGTATTCAACTGATGAGCCAAGGATAGAACCAGAAGAGGATGAATATGGCTTCATTCTCTGAAGGAGACCGGGAAAGCTCAGCAATTTTACAATATTCAAACCAGCATGCCTGACAGAGGAGAGCGCAAATCAAACACCTTTATCCTCTCTGCCTCCCTATTCCTTAGAAAAAACGTTGCAGAGCACAGTCTTACTTTGCCCTCATGTTTGTACACTTTAACTGCCCAATGCCTAAACAGGCTGGCTTGGTGATTTCTCCATTTGTACCTGAAACAGTTAGGCAAGACTACCGGTATGCTAACTGGAATGCACGAAGGATTCTTAAAAGCCCATGTGAACCCCTGCCCACTGGAGGCACCTACTGTTACCTCTGCTCATGGCAGAGGTGTGAGACAAACAGACAACTTCAATGAACTGAAGCTCTGAAGACCGGAGTTCACACCAAGATTAACTACACTAAAATAAAGACAAACCCAGGACTGTCTGCAGTTTGAAAGCTGTTCTCTTGGATGCTGGTGTCTTCTGGAATTACGGTACCTAGCTCTTTTTTTCTAGGTAATGCTAGAAAATTTTTGCCTTGACACAGGTATCCCTGATTCAACATGTACAGTCCACTTCACACTCATCCTCCAGTCTCTTAGTGGGATACTGAGGGTATAACCAGTAGGTGCCAACAGGCTGTTTATGGTAGCAGCTGGATTGGTGTCCACATGTAGCTTAGAGAAAAGTATAATTATGCTGCACCTCAGAGAGGGCCAGGGTGTGACCCAAACTCACCTACTCAGAAGAGGAAAGGCCAGTCTGAAAACTGTGGAAGTGCCTACCAGGCTACAGTGTCTCACTGAAGGAGGGAAGACTTCCGAAGAACAAACAGGCAAACATAGCCATGCATTCCTGATCATGTGCTACCCACCTGTGTGGCCAAGCCCTGCCAACCACCACACTGGGGAGTTTCTATCGTGGTGTGGTGCAGGGCCTCAGTACACACAAAGCTGACATTCAGAGAACTAACTACGGACTCACTGTTAGCCATAGCTTCAAGCCAGTGTGTGCTCTGTATCTTATGTGGCGCTGAGTCATTTACCTATGACTGTGGATCAAGAACAATGTGCAAGTGTGAGTGAGCTACATCAGCATAAAATCAATGCAAAGTTAAGAGAAAGACTCATGGAAGCACGGAAAGTCCACAAAGATAGCACACACCTAAATACACGACCATGCAGCATGAGCACTTGGCCACGGCAGGAATACTCCAGGCTCATCCTGGCAGTCACTGGCCACTAATCACTGGTCATGTTGCCAGGAAATCCACTAAATTTTCTAAGACCTATGATTCTAACATTTGAAAAGAGGACAATAATATTCATTTTTCATATGCACAGGGATTACGAAAACAAACAAAAGACCAACCAACCAAAAAACAAACAAACATACAAAAAACAGTGAAGCTGCTTTGAAAACCGTTCATACCACAGTTCTGATATCTCATGGTATCTAAGGAGGACTGTCCCAGGATCCTGTGTACAAAAAAATCTGAGGATGTCAATCCCTTATATAAAAGGGAGCAAGGAGCATCTGCACAGAACCTCTACAATCCTCTCAGAGACTTAAGTCAGCTCTAGATGACTTACAATTCCTAGTTCAATATAAACCTCTCCACATAGCTGTTACATTGTAGCATTCAGGAAATAATGACAAGGGAAAGTGGACCTATTCAGCACATGCGCAATCCTCCGCCACCATATTTTCAACTTATGATTGGTTGAATTCTTGTGAATTTCTGGATACTGATCCCTTGGATAAGGAGAAATGACTGTACTTGTCCCTGACCTTTGTCCTTATCTTTTGATCACCCGAACTTACTCTGGAGTAAGAGTGACCTTGTGGAATGATTCTCAGGCATCCAGGCCAGGCTGACAGGATTGCAAGGTGGAATTCCACAGCAATCTGTCTCTGGCTTGGGAAATAGCAACTAGACTACTAGTATATAACCTCACAGGGGTAAGCTGGCATCAGACACCCTGCTTCACTTGTAGTGGCCGAGGTCCAACATTTGGAGTCAAAAGCACTCTCCCTCAAGATTGCTCTTAAAATGTAGACCAGGCCTTGAGGAGTGCTGTATCACACCATGGGACACTGTAATGCAACCACTGTTCAATGATTGAAAGTCCTCAAAGGATGGAGAAGTGAGCACAGGCTGTGGAAGGGATCTGTCTAGAAGACAATCACCCTCCCCTACATGAAGACCTGTCCTACAGGAGAAGACAGAGTGTACTGGCTGAAAGCTGCAGGAAGAAGTCTCCAGGCAGAGCAGCCCCTACTCTGCCAAGCTTCTCTGGTCTTCCCTGTGCCCCGCACATCCACAAAACAACAGCCACAGGAGGCTGAATCGCCTCATTCTCCGCTGCCTCTTTTGTTTCTATCTTGACAGATCTGTTCCCTGCCTGAGGACAAGGTCGTGGCCACTGTAGAATAAAGCTCCCTGGGCTGAGCAACTAGCAAAAGATGCTGACAAATTCAAATTCACTCTGGAAAGTTGCTGGAGGAGGCCACACAAGGCCAGATGATGACAGGCGTGTGCTTGCAGCAGCCTGGCAATATTCAACAGCTCTGCTTCAGCACAATGGCCCCTCATCCATAGTTTCAGTCCCAGTCAGTGAGGAGGCTGAGTGTGGTATAGGGAGATTCTGTGGGGGCAGCCGTATTCATAGGACTTTTACCAAAGCACATTTCTATAATTGTTCTAGTTTTTGTTGCTAATAATTGCCTTCTATGCCTCAGTTTAAATTAAATTTTATCATTGCTAGACATGTCTAGAAAACCAGCACATGAGGCTTCAGTGCTATCAGTCTCAGACACCCTCGGGGGTTTTTGAAGTGTGTCTCCCTCAGGTAAGGAAGGACTATTGCATTAAAAATTGGGCCCTCTTCCAATGATAGGGATGCAACAGGCTATGTGGATGCCCACTGCAAGGCCAAGAGGAATGTGGGCAGCAGGCACTCTGGAAGCAAGTTCAGGGCCAGCAAAAAGCAGGGACCCTTTAGTGGTGAGTTTTACCAACTGAACACTGGACTTGCTTTGGCTGCTTATTTCCTGTCAACTTAAGTATAATATACATAGCACCTATAACATTAAAAACAAAAAAGTATTCTAATACCAAAAACTAGAAGTCAGAGGCTCAAGCCATTGCCCTAGATAATTTCTGAGTTCACTTTCTGCTCTGTTGGTCTATGGCTTTATGAATGGTGGCCTGGTAAGCAGACCCAGCCCAGAGAGTGGGTAGGCCACAACCTCAGAGGCAGACTCACAAGAAATGATGAGCTCAAATGTACTCTGCGCCCTGACCACAGCCACGGGGTGAGCCCCTATATTATAAAACTACCATACCTACAGGCACACAGAAGCTGCAAGCTAATGCCTTTGACAAGTTCACACTGTTTATGAAGGGCCGCTCTGTGCTCCTCTTTGATCTCTGTCCATCTCATTTTCCTCCCTAAGTGTGTAACAGACTTACTTGGAAAACAATTGAACTTTATTTTGAATATGTTAAGATACTTCATTCATTATGAGAATCCTTACGGAGGGAGTTTCATTTTATACAGATTATTCAGGCTTCTATTTATCTTGTTTACATTTCCAATCCCTATGTTAGACATATTTGCACATCATGTAGGGCCTTGAATAAAAATGATAATCATTAACAAAAGGGATGCATCCTTGTGTGTAAAAAAATGTAATTTTAAAAATAACGGATTAGCAATGGGCCCACAGCATACCTGGTTCACCTGTTCTGACCTGGTGTGTGTTTGTTCCTCCCAATAGCATGAATCCTAACAGTTAAAATGTTTTTTTTTTCTCTAAAAGTATCTGAAAAGGCTCTTACAATCTGAGCCTGAGGTGGTGTATGACTATAAGGAAAAAGTGGTCTCAACACGCAACAGGGCAGGTACACATATGAACTCACAGCGATTGTGCCAGCATGCACAAGACCTGCTCAAGCTGAAACCAGACAAAAATCCCAGCATGGGATTTTTTGGTCACCATGGTGATGGTCACCATAATGTCCTGCCCCTAGCTGAGGAGCTATTGGCAACTGACAGCTGCTGGGAGAGGGAGAGTCAGTTTTCTTTAAGGGTGTGGTCCCTGGTAGATCAACCATGCTCCAGTGGATGACCACACACATAAGAGTATATGGTTGCACAAACTAGACTTGATGGTTTAAAGAAAAAAAATGGAGACAATGTTGGGTGACATGAGGTAGATCTGGGAGTTGGGAAAACAGGGGTGAATATGAACAAAATAGATAGTATGAAATTCTCAAAGAACTATTTTAAAGAATGAGGAAAGACAAAAAAATCTGACTGAAAAAACTGCATATTAGAACTCAAACCCTATGTCACAACACAGCTCCGTGTAGATTAATCTCCCTGCTAAGGAGCAACTGGTATCCAGAGTGATAACATGTATACTGCTGCTTTGCACATCCTTAAGAACTATGCTTACTGCCCTAGGCTTGATGGCCCTGGACTTTCAACTGTGTCACATTTTTGCTCAGTGATACTTCCTTACGTGTAGCAGCCTGCCGAGACAGCAGGCCAGGGAGCAGGAGTGCTCTGCAGGTACCAGACACAGGGAACTGGGAACAAGTTTTTGAGCCCACTCTGTCATCTGAACCCATATCGACCTCAAGAATGTTGCAGGGAATGAGGGCAGGTTACACAATCCCAGCCCTAACAAAGGCCAAGCACTTGGCTGGCATTCTAGCCCCAGTGCCTAATCCTTTGAACATTCTCTCTAGGCATGCAAGATAACCTAGTATAAAACGGCATCTCCAGACAGTGCCCTGAAGGGTACTAGGTAGATGGGACCTGTACGAATTATGAACTCTAAAGTGAGACCCAGCAAAGTCTCAGTCTCAGGTGGTGGCGGTCTTGTTTTCTCTTCTCTCTGGTATCTGCCCCTAGATGGCAGTGTGAGTGGCAGCTTTCCTTCCTTCCTTCTGTTTATCCTTGTCTTCTAACATTTCTAGCCCTAGCAGAGTACTCTGCTGCACCCAGACAGGTCTCACTCAAATGCATGGTATCTACTCTCATAGACTGAGAGGAATGGCAGGTTTTCTTCCCTCCTTAGAGCTGATTCAGACACAAGAGGAACAGATGCTAGGGTATGACTTCTTCCAGGTCTCAGACTTGTGCAGGAGTCTGATATTTACAACATGGAAAATGGGGATGGAAAGCTGGAAGCTCACACTATGCATATCTCTAGACCATTAGAATTCAGGTAAGACCACCGAGGACTTCACTCAATCCCATAGTTTTTCACAGCATCACCCCTTCTTCCTGAGGAAGTCACAAGATCCACCTGTCTGCCTGCACCAGAAGAACTAGACAGAGCTCTAGCACTCAGAGGACAAGCATGTCATGGCCACTGTATGAATGGTCACAAGTAGGAATAGATGAGGGGTTCTAGGGACATGCGGCTACATCACACATTCTCACAAGTCCTGATACACCACCAGGAGTAGGACTTCCCCATAAGACATGGACAGCACCTCTCACCTAGGTAGATGTCCATGCTTGGCCAGGTATGCCAAGCTGAGTGATGACTACCTGGTGTGACCTATGGGCTAGATCCTAGCCTGTGGCCATTCTCAAATGCAGTTTCATGATAGGATGTAATCTAGGTAACATTCCCATAAGTAGAAGCCACAACATCTCAGGGAGAAGTACAATGAAAGAACGGCCACATTCTGAAGCTTACATCCTAGCTGTCTGCTGGGCCTCCTGGGTGTGAAGCATGGGTCTGCAATCCCTCACGAGGTGTCATGCTCAGGGAGTAACAGTCAGGTCCTACCCAAGATGTTCTCACTGTGAGGGAACCTCTTTTCTCCTGATGGGGGTCTTGTCGGGGATGCTCAGCCACAGGCTCAAAGGACCCACAGGGGGGTTCTGACAAGTATAATCCTTTACAGTTTTCAGAGCAATGCCACCTCCACTATTAGACCTGAGACTACTGAAATGCTCACAGTTCCAGAGATGTCTAGATGTTTCCTTCTGGGACCCTGGGTATAGGACAGGCATGGCCCAGTACTCAGATGCATGTGATGTGGGAAGCCTGCATAGTATCCTGGTACCTGGACCAGGTACATGGTTAGTACTTAATAAATACTGGCTTCATTATAATTAGATTCTGTAATTATCATGAATGGGTACTTTAGGTAACATGCATACTGCTAAAACTATTAATTAAATTCCACTATTAATCATTTGGTAAAAACTAGAAGTTCAGTAAACATGACCTACCAACTTGACTTACATAAAAATTCACTAAGAAATATCCTAACCAGCACAGTGGTTCACATATGATGCCAGCACTTAGAAGGCCAAGGCAACAGGAGCAAAAGCATGGGGCAGCCTGCAGTACACAGTCCAGCCTAGCCTGAATTACATAGTGAAACCCTGTCTGAAAAACTGAACGCTTCAGGATGGAGAGAGGCTCAGGATCCAGGGGCCAGGGGTGGGGGTGGTCCCAGCACCCATAACTCCAGTTTCAGGGGGGATCTGATGCCCTCTTCTGGCCTTTGCAGGCATTGCATGCACATGGTGCACTTTATACATGCAGGTAACATAGTTATATACACAAAATAAAAAATTTTTTAAAATCAAGTATCTCCATGAAAGGAAGAGAAGGGGAGGGAAGAAAGGAGAGGGGAGGAAAGGAGGAAGGAGAGGGGAGGGAAGGAGAGGAGAGAAGGAAGGAAAGGGGGGAGGGACGAGAGGGAGGGGAAGGAAAGGGAGAGCTACTATGGAAGACTAAAAGCCAAAGCTACTCCCAAGCTGCTTAGGACCTCCCACACTGGCAGTTCTCGTAAGTACAGAGGCTGTCCTATGTGTCAGAAACATGGTTGCTTCTGGGTCTACATACTCAGAGATGGTACATGCCACCTTTCTAAAACATCCATCTTTCCGAGAAAAAGTGGATGACATAAGACAGTACCAAAACGGCTGAGAAAGCAATCAGGTTCACCTCCGCAGAGAAATAAAGCAGAGGGGGCTGGAGCCTGACACCCACATAGGTTATTTTAGAGCTCATTAATGTCAGCATTTTATTTTAAAAATAAGCAGAGAGTTCTTCCCTCACCATAAAGAGCCAGCCTGGCTTCCTCCTGTACCCTCAGTGTCACACAACAGAAGGACTGACAGTCCGCAGAGAGCAGTTAGGGGCCAGGGACGCCCCTGGGCCTCATTCCCACATTATGGTGCCAGGCATTGACACATACCTTTCCCTCTCCCCCACAGGCTAGACCTGGGCCTGAAACATTGCTCCCAGGATGGACAATAGCATCCCTAGGCAGCCTGCCCTGGAACTATGATTCCATGTCCTTGTTTATTTCTCGACATGTCTGGCTTCAATAAAAGACAAGTTCCTGAGGACATGAGAGTGCTGGTCTAAGCACAGGAAAGTCGGTGAGAAAATGAGGGTAACAGCATGAGCCCTGGCTTGGCTGCATTACCCAGGCAGCAGGGTAGCACCCATACCAGAGGGCTTATGAGACAGGAACTAAGTGCCCAGAATTTCGGAGACACACCATGGCAGGGCCAGTGTGGGAACCCTGGCCTTTGGTCTGTAGCCACTTCAGCTACTAAATGTGGGTGAGATGAAATACCCATGGGAGAAGTACCCAGTGTGACCATGAATAATAAAGCAATCAGGAAGTGACAGTAAAAGAGAACCTCTCCTAAAAGGGTCCAGATTAAAGCAATTACCAATTCAATAGATGACCAAAAGGATACTTTTAAAAATCCACCAGACTTGGGAAATAGCTAAAGATTAAAGCACTTGCTGTGCAAGCATGAGGACCAGATGCCCAGAACCAACATAAAAGCTGAGTGGTGTGGGGACCTGCCTGAAAGTCCAACATGAGGCAGGAGGATGGATCCCTGGAGCAGGCTGGCTAGCAAAGACTAGCTGATCCACAAGTTCTGTGTTCTGAGAGAGATCTGCTTTGATATATTAAGATGGAGAGCATTTGGGGAAGACTTCTGATGTCAGCCTCAGCCCTCCATGCATGTGTATACACACATACACACACACACACACATACACACACACACACATACACACACACACACATGCAGATAGACAGACAGACAGACAGACAGACAAACAGACAAGATTTTTAAAAAACCCACAACTAAAAACACCAACTCGGAGGCTCTGGGCAAAGAGGCACTACTAGCTGGGGATGGGCAGTGTGACCACAGGACATCACACTGCTCCTGGTCTCCTTATAGTGCTTGACAGTTAAGAATTCTTCCACAGGACATCATATTTAAAATGAGGGGTATGTGGAAAAGCTATGGTAACGATTTATCTGTAATAGTGGACAACCAGATTTCTATACCCACCGCCAGGCTCAGTTAGCCCCACAGTTCATTGCTGTCCAGGCCTTCACATCTGATGGAAGGCACTGTATGTCTAACACACCAGTCTGAACCTGGGTACATACCTGCTTCATGTAGGCATAGCACATGGTCTCTGCGACACGTTTGCCCTCGTCGTAGCAGGCCCGGGGTCCTATGGGATTCACATGGCCCCAGTAATCCTCACTTTGAGGGTGGACTTCAGGATCTACAGGTGAGCAGGAGAAAAATGAGACTTCATTTTCCCTCCAGTTCATATGCACTAGGAACAATTAATTTATGGTGTAAAACAAACTTTTGGACCCAGGTAAATATTTCCAAACTGAAATAAGACCAAAGGAGGTGCTTAATCTTGTCTTTCCTAAGTGAAAGTTCTTAACTTTGGGATACTTATACAAATATATGAAAAGATACATGGCTTAGTTTTATATTTACAAAGTATGTAGTTAAAGTAAAACATGTGCTCATGGAAAAAATTTAAAGCTCAGTATCTCTATGGAACATAATGGCTTTCATACCAGCCTTCATCTCAACAAACACGAGACCACCGATGAGAGAATAGAGGCCCATGGGGCACAGTGTCCATGAACAACCAGAATTCCCAATTCTTGCCTTTCTAGTATATAAATAAATCAGTACTTTAAGATGCATCTAGGGAATATACTATTTACACAAACCAAATAACAAATTATTTAACTCAACTGTGTTTCCAGAATATGAATTAATACCAGTTTATATAGTACACAGAAATTTTTATGCACAAGTCCAGCTGTGTTATAAAATGAATAAATCTCTCTCAAGAAATCTGGACAAAATGATTCTGTTATAAATCCATGCCCTATTTGTCTTGCACGTGGCTTGATCCTGGGGTCTTCAGGACAAGGGTCCTGAACTGGCACTGGAGCATGACAGAGACCCTTGGCACGTGCATCTGAATCAGCAGAGTTTAGGAGGTGGCTATGACTGTAGACTAGCACAGTGCAGTGAGGCCTTTCTGATTCTATGGGGGGAAAATTGCCCCCAGGAAGAGGCAAGGTTTCCACTACATGTGGGAGAAGAGGTCTAAGCTTAGATTTCCCAAAGAAGAAAACCATAACTTACACTCACAAAGGTATCAGATGACTTATACCAGGCTTTTATTTTATTTTTTTATTTATTAATTTGGTCTTTTTGAGACAAGGTCTCCCTATAGCTCAGCTGGCCTGGAACTCACTATGTAGAGCAGGCTGGTCTCAATCTCAGAGATTCACCTGCCTCTACCTCCTGAGTGCTGGGATTAAAGGTGTGCACCACCACACCTGCCTTTCCTAAATTTTTGATAAATGCTAGGCAAGCCAGGTCCCAAGGAGGGGTCATAAATTTCTGGCAGGGGAGAAAGCTTGGCATACCCATTCAATTGTTGACTGGCACCATTCTGAGCTGGAATGCCCTGGGTACCAAGCTTCTCAAAACTCTCCATCACAAAGCCACTTCAGAAAAATGCAGGCGCTGCTTCACATTAACAGAAGTCAAGGTCTAGGGCTAGAGAGGTGGCTCAGTCAGTAAAGCGCTTGCCTTACAATCATGAGGGCCTGAGTTCCATCCCAGAACCCATACTGAAAAGAAAAAACATAAAGTTGAGCATGGAGGTACTAACTTGTAGTCGTAGTCCCAACACTAGGGAGGAAGAGGAAGAGAAAGGTAGATTTGTGGGGGTTTCCTGGCTAGCCACCCTAGCCTACTTGGCAAGTTCTAGATCAGTGAGAGACTGTGTCCAAAAAAAGCCAGGGGGCAGACAGGAAACAAACCCCAAAGTATACTCTGCCCTTCAGAGATATGTGCACACACATGCATGTGCACCTGGGCACACATGAATACCTACATTTGTGCATACTCCTTTGGGTGAGCGTGCATGTGCATAGACAGAAGGATCTAGTCAAAAATGATTCCTAAGCCAGGTGTGGCAGTGCACTCCTAAAATCTCAGCACCTGGAAGGCTGAGGCAGGAGGACCACAAGTTTGAAGCCAGCCTACATTATATAGCAAGTTGGAGCCCAGCCTGAGATACATTGTTTTTCTAAAAAAAAAAAAAAGGCAAAATAATATAACAAAATGAAATAAAGATTCCCAATCATCTCCCTCATCCTCATATAGTGAGTCTGACCAAGTAGGCTGATGCTCCACAAAACCAAGTGTTCACTCAACAAGAGAAGAATGGAGCAAGCAGTGAACTGACAGAATTAAAGTCATGAGGACCCAACTTTGATTAAATATGCAGGTAATAAATGAGTGGGCGAGGAAGAAGGAAAAGATGCCACTGTGCCTTCTGGACAGAGAGCAGGGGGCAGGGTGGGGGCTGATGGGAAGCTGCTCCCTTTGCTCTTTCAACTGCTCAGGGCCTCAAAGAAGAGGATTGCTACACCCCCAGGACTGTTATTCTAAAGCTGATTTTGGAGAATTTCCCTGTTGCTATGTTGTTTTCCTATTTGACATCCTTTCTTCTAAAGAAAAAGAGCCTCTTTCAACTTTACCCTTTTATATCCTCATTTCCCTTGTCTAGAATAATACTGTAAGAGAAAAAAATGACATGGTGCCAGGGTCTGGTTCCCGCTTGTATCAGCCAGTCACTTCTGCCACGCCCTGCAGTCAGTTGGGTTAGGGCTCAATAAGAACCAACTGGGACTGAAAATCCAGTCCTCTCCCCTGATTCCTGACCCAAGTTCCTAGCTATTGGCTGGTTCCTGAGGGATGATGGAGGCTGTTGGTAGGCAAGATGTGATCTGGAATGGTGTTGCACCAGGCACACAACATCACTGCTCTCGGTGAAGACAACATGTGCCAGCAAAAGAGGCAAAAACTACTTTGTGCTGTATTTCTGAGGTACTTCAGAACAGAATGAAAAAAATCCTCTTCTGTGGAATCATATGGTGTGTTCCTACCGGACAGCTGGCCTGATTCAGACCTCCTAGAGCAGGCACTAAGAGACTGGGCCAGTGGGTTGGGCCTTCTAAGAAGTAGAATCCTGGATTCTGATTCGGTGTCACCTAAGACTAGATACAAACAGTCCCACGGGTCAATGGGCATCTGCCAGGGGGCCCCACCACTCACCTCCATATACCTCTGACGTGGAGGCTAGGAGCAGACGGGCACCTACACGCTTTGCCAGTCCTGTGGAAAGAGGACACATTATCAGAGAAACTGCCAGCTTACACTGACAGACACATTTTGTGTGTGTGTGTGTGTTTGTGTATGTGTGTGTGTGTGTGTGTGTGTGGTCAAATTAAACAATGTTTTAGTCCTGAAAGGTGACTGAGTAGCTACTAAATTATCTATTATTGCATCTGCTGTAGAACAAAAATAAAAATAGCAATAAGAAAAATACAAACATATCCTTTAAAAGAACAGCACTTAGGAGGAAAGTTAGAGCTCTAAGCAGGGACAGATGCAGAATTTGTTGAAACAGTACGATTCCAGAAACCATAAAAACGTCTATACTCCAAAACGACTGGTTCACATTTGATTAGTTAGTCATTCGGGCAGGCAAACACAAGACCCAAACAGCCTACCTACCACTTCCCCAGCATGCCCGGATCTTCTGGCTTAGTCACCCTACTGGGTAACTGCGTGCATTCTGCAGATGCCTTCCAGGCTCTACCTACATAGCACCTTCCACCAAGCAGCCATGCACTCCTCAGTCTGGTTCTGAAGCCCTTTCCTGCCCTCAGCATATACCCAGTGACTACACCATCACTACTTGTGGTGTCAAGCACGAGCAGTCCTCCAAACTTTTCCCTGACTCTCAACATAGAATGGAGAAGCTCATTTACTTTACCCCAATACTTCCCCACTACACACACACACACACACACACACACACACACACACACACACACACCGCCCCCAATACACTGGAAGGGTGGCTGTTGTATCCAGTTCTGGCATGGGCAAAGGTCTGCTGATGTCCAGGAGGTACAGTCAAGTGGGATGGATGAGGCATACACCCATGGCCTGAGGGCAGCGCTGAAGAGGTGGGCTGAAGGGCCAAAGCGGGAGGGAGTTAGGGTTATGAGAGTCTAAGTATCTGAGGAGGGAAGTAGAGAGCTGCCAAGATGAGGTCAAGAATGAGACAAAGGGACTAGGGCTGCAGCTCAGATGTATAGGCTGCCTGCCTAGCATGTGCCAGGTCCTGGGTTCAATTCCCAAAACCAAAAGAAAAAGGGGAAAAAGAAAAGAATGAAAGAAGAGGGTTGCTCTGAAGGTTAGGACTGAGACCGCCAACTCCACCCACCTCGTACAGAAGGAAATGCTAAAAGAGGTTGTATCAGATGGAATTCACAGGCCACTTCCTCCACAGCCACGCCACCCCAAAAGACTTCACAGTGCACCACCACAGGGTTTTACAGCAGGGGTTTCAATATACAGAAACAGTATAAATAGAGTTTAAAAGTAGTTACCCTATAACAGGGGCTTAATGGCTCTACTAGTTACCACAGGCCAGCAAATAAAAAACCTAATGCCACCTGCATGCAATACACTCGTACACATAAAATAAAAATAATAAATTAAGCTGGGCATGTAGTCCCAACACTTGGGAGGTAGAGGCAGGTGGATCTCAGTGAGTTCCAGGCCAGATGGGGCTACAGGGAGACCCTGTTGCAAAAAGACCAATAATAATAATAATAATAATAATAATAATAATAATAAATTAAGGAAAAAACCCCACCTAATGCCTGGAATTGGCTCCTTCTTTTAGAGTTGTTGACCAGGGAGGTCCAAAGACTCTTTTTATTATTATTATTTTTATTTTATGTGTATGAGTGTGTTGCCTGCATGTATGTGAGTGCACCCATGTCGTGCAATGCTGCAGAGGTCACAAGAGGGCTTCAGATTCCCCTGGAACTGGAGTTAAGGATGGTTTGTAGTCGCCATGTGGGTGCTGGGAATTGAACCTGGGTCCTCTGCAAGAGCAGTCAGTGCTCTTAACCGCTGAGCCATCTCTCCAGCCCCGGTCCAAAGACTCTTAAATAATACGGACTATTATCACTCTTGGTTGCCCTCCAAAACTTGACAGTAAGACCCTATTCGGGAAGATACTACACACGTGAATGATAGAATAAACATGGGAAAATCAAGCTGGTACTGACCTCAAGGCTTCATCCATGATGGCCAGCTTTCATAGTAGTAGAAGGTGCTATGCATGCTACTGGCAGAGAAAAGTAACCATCCTCCTTACCCAGCTGTGAACCCTGGCAACTACAATAAACACTAGTCTGGCAAGATATGCCTACTGGTGAAATAGTGACATGAATGTTATAGGGTAACCAACTGCCTTTTGAATGGATTTGAGGCCTGTTTCACAAGATGGAGCCCATACCTGGCACTGTTATCAGGGCCAAAAACCTATGGCTTGACAGGTCATGGGCCATAAAGGAGAACTTATTACTATTATTCTGCTAAATGAACACAATATGAAACTGACTCCTAATGATTTATTGTTATACCCATAGATTAATGTATCTCTCAACTCTCACCAGAGAAGCTTCTTCTTGCAACAGACGGTGATTACAGAAGCCCATGGTTAGTCAAGGTTCAGAAAATAAGAGACTACAGAGTGCTCAGCCCTAAATCGAACACCTGTCTCACACCCTCTCCTCCCAAGGATCAGGGATCATTGTGGAAGAGGGGGCAGAAAGACTGTAAGAGCCAGGCGTGGTGGATGAATACATGGAAACTGTGTTGCCTGGACACCAGAGTAGATGCACAGAGGAACTCACAGCACTTGTGGCAGCATGCTCAAGACCTGTGCAAACCCAAGCCACATGGATAGGGGAAATGGGCAAGAAGCCCTAGACCTAGCTGAGATCTATTGGCAACTGATACCCTTTGGGAGAGGGAGTATCAGTTTTCTTTAGGAGTAGGAAGCCTAGAGTGTGACTAGACTCTAGGGGATACACCCATACCCAAGAACATTTGAGGAACATAGATTAGACTCAATAGGCCTTTTTAAAAAGAGAAAAATAAGGCACATGCCTTTAATCCCAGCACTCGGGAGGCAGAGGCAGGCAGATCGCTGTGAGTTCAAGGCCACCCTTGTCTACATAGTGAGTTCCAGGACATCTGGGGTTACAGGGAGACCCTGTCTCAAAAAGACAAAAAAAAAAAAAAAAAAAAAAAAAAAATAGAGGACATGAAGCCTGGGAGGTAGTAAGACGGGGCTGGAGATGGGGAGGGGTCTGAATGTGATCAAAATACACTGTGTGAAATTCTCAAAGAATTAATAAATATTTTTAAAAAACAAAGCTTTTAAAGATAAATATAAATAAAGATAAATATAAACCTGAATTTTATATTCAGACTCAGCTGTATAAAGGAACAGAGAGAGATTCTGCTTCCCCCTTTACACAGCATCCCCCAACGGCAAAAGCTGCAAAACTAGACAGGACGTCACAATGGCAGGGGACCAGGAACTATTTCAGAAGGATTGCTCTGCTCTTTCACGGCCTCCTCGCCTCTTTCCCTCCTGTGCCGTAAGCTGTGAGTAATTTCTCATCTCTGTAACTGTCACTTCAGGAAACACGTTTAAATGGAATCATACGGTGTTTAATCTCTGGGAACTGAATTTTTTTCACAGACCGTATTTCTCTGGAACCCATTCAGGCAGTTATACCTATCAATAGAGTTTTCCTATTTTACTGCTGTGTAGTACTCCAGGGAATGTGTATATTACAACCTGTTAACTGTTCATCTATTATAAGGGCATTCTGGTTATTTCTAGCTTCTGGTCATTATGACTGAAGAGGAAAACTGAAATTATTAAGAAAACTAAAGTAAAAGAAATTAAGAAAAAAACCAGAGCAGCTAGCCTGAATAAACAGTCTCTGCTTATCAGCCCTGCTGGCTTAAGAAAACAAATCCTAGTTACCTAGGAAACCAGCCCTCCTATTGGCTTGAGAAAACAGGTGCATAATCTTAACCTTTTGCTTTTGTAAACACTCTTTCCTGCTTAGAATTCCAACCTATGGGTCATAAAGGAATGGGGTCCATGGGTCAGAAACCCACGCATGGTCCACATTTTGTGTAGGCTGGAAAGACTCATGATCTCAGTGCCCACTAATGCCAGTGTGGGTCTAAAACGATGTTAAACTGTCTGTATAAACTGAAAGAGCACTGTTGCCTACCGCTCAACTATTGCTTATTCTTTGTGGAGGTGACTCCACTTAAGTCCACTAGAGAGAACAAACTTCCTGATTTCTCCACGAGTCTCTTGGTGCCTTCTCTGTGCATGGCTGGTCCCATGCCTCAGTTTTCCTGTAACATGACTAATGTTATCCTCATGGGGATGCAAGTTCACATTCCCTGGGATAAGTGTTCTAGATGATAATTACTCAATTTTTTTAAAAGAAAACTGTCAATTTAGTCTCCTAATTATACCACTTTAATATCTCTACCCAAGGTTTCTCAAGCCCACAATTTTCTTTAAACTCTGGTAAAGTGTGCAGAGCATCTATGGATAAGGTTGCCCTTCAAGGAGTGAATTTAGATTCTCAAAGAGAGGCAACCGTCCTGGGTGGAGCCAGAAGAGCCAGACAGAGCCCAGATGTGGATGCCCAGCCTGGTCACATCAGAGAGAGAAGCCAAGCAGGGGGCTCTCCTAGGAGGTGGGGAGGCTGTGGGAAGGGTAAGCTAGGAAAAGCTGAGACTTATCACATGTGGAAGCACATCTCAGTTTTCAGTACAAAGTCCTGTGTAGGGCTGGTTCTCCTGGTCTTTTGTCAGTTTTTGCCTGTCATTTCTGGAATACTCCTGACCCTCCTATAAGGCATTCACATCCAGTCTTTCTACAACTCAGGCCTTAGCTTAGGGGCCATTTTGCCTTGAACTCCAACAGCATTCACTGGGGCCTCTGGGAACCTTCCCGTTGTCCCAGTGCCTATGCAGCACCTCCAGGAGATAACTACCTGTGAACCCCCGACCCCCACCCCTCACATGCCCTGGGCCCCATGACTGCATCCTCTCAGTATGAAGAATACACACTGCAGGCATGGTGGGCTTTGTCTCCACAATGGAGATGGACAAGAAAGCACATGGGAGAAGTTAGGGGGCAGGAATACGAGAGAGCATGAGAGAACATGGAAAAAACCTGGGGAAGGCAAGATGTAGGGAGGCTGAGAGGACAAGGGATAGGGGCTGGGTCTGAAAGAGCACAGGAAGGGGGTTGGGAAGACAGAATTGGGGAGAGGCTCCAGAGAGTTCAGGACTGTTAGGAGAAGCAGAAACAGGTGCAGTCCTGCCCCATACCCTGCCCTAGGCAGAAGCAGGGACACCCGGCCTTGTGGCGATGAGGACAAGGACGGTAACAGAACAGACGCTTTCTATATGGACCATCTTCCTTTTTCTGTATCAATCTGACTGGGCTAAGGGGCGTCCAGAGTCGTACCTCCACCCTCTCTAATGCCAGTGCACGTCATCCAATCCTTTGAAGGTCTTGACAAAATAAAATTGTGAGGGAAGGCCAAGGCTGGAACTTCCATCTTCTCCAGTTCTCAGGGCTTTGAACTCCACCACTGGCTTTCCTGGGTTTCCCGCATGCAGACAGCAAACAGTGGGAATCCTCAGCCTCCATAATCACAGAGCCTACCTCATAAATCCCTCCCACATATCTAATTGTACCCATTGGTCTGTTTCTTGAGAACCCTGACTCATAAATCCTCCAAAATGTTTAACCCCCAGGACTTGAAAGCAGCTTCAGGCTATCCTTTCAGATCCTGGTGCTTTGCCTAAATTAAGATTTAGGACTGCATGCCCCAGATCTATGTACAGCACTTGTTATAAATGTTTTCATAATTAAGTCCAACTTTTTTACTTAGCATTTTTAAACGTGGCTTCTTTCTTCCATTTGCAAATAATCAAAATTCAAATAAATCTGAACCAAACTTAAGGACACCAGTCATTTAAACATGCAGGAGCATCCATTACCCCCAGCACATAACCTACTTCTAGCTTATGCTGCTTGTGAAGCTACCCTTGCACTTCCCCTTGGATCTTCTAATATGAATCCTGAGTCAACCTGGAGCAGGAACTCAGTCTCCATAACCCCCATGCAGGCAAACCTCTCCTCTCACCCCTTCCAGGAGCACTAGTGAACCTCTGGGTGCCATAAGGCCACACCATCCAGAGTCACAGGTCCTCTGTCTGCTGGCCGGCCAGTAGTCTTAGACACTGTCAGCCAGCATCAGAGAGGGAAGGAAAGGAATACAAGGCAGTCCTTGAAGCGCCTATGTCTCTCCTAGGATTTACAGAGGCATGGAAGACTGATTACTACAATACAGAAAAAGGCAGGTGCTTCCCTCATGCCTAAAAGCCACACTGAAATAATACCAGGAAGCTACCCAACAGCATACACAGGGACATGAAGGGGGTGAACACCAAAGCAAATAACAGTATCTGACTACAGAACTCCCTGAGCCATTGCTTCAATTACCTGTGCTCAGATTCAACCATAATCTGAAAATATTAAATAGAAAACCTCAGAAACAAATAGTTCATAGCTGTGCACTATTCTGAGGGGCAGAGTTAACCACTGTTCTGATGGAGCATAGCAACATCCTTCCCACAATGTGCACTTTGTCCCACATATTCTTGTGATATACACTATCTACCCATTAGTCACTCAGTCCATCCCTAAAGACTGTCACAAGCATCACAGTGATGATGTTCAAGCAAGCCTTGAATTTAACAATGACCCCACAGCCCAAGAGTAGTGATGTTCAGGACTTGGATAATGTCAAGCAGAAGCCACGACACACTTCTGCCAGGTGAAAAGGGGGATGCTCTATCTAGACTGAAGCAAAGCAGCCATGGGTGCTAGATCTCTAGTCCGAGTGCATCTCCTATTAGGGCAGCTGTGGATAGGAAAGAATGGATACTAGTTTTGCATTGCAAAAGTTAGGGGCACAAGGTCTAAGTGCTGTGTTAAGATGGAAAAGGCATTCAATTATGGTAGTTGGTACAATATGAGGTTGAAGAATCATGGGGGTCTTGGAATATGTCTTGTGGACAAGGGAGGGCTACCATGCATATGTTTGGAATTACCCTAAGATATTCCCAGAAAGAACAGGGAAAAAGAAAAAAAACACAAAAAACAAAAGACAGGGCTGGAGAGATGGCTCAATGGTTAAAAGCACTGGCTGTTCTTGCAGGAGACCTGGGTTCGAATCCCAGCACTCATATGGCGGCTAACAACCATCCATAACTCCAGTTCCAGGGGATCTGACACCCTCTTCTGTCCTCTGCAGCCACTGTACAACATGGGTGCACTAACACACATACAGACACAACATGCATACACATAAAATAAAAATAAATAAATAAAAATATTTTTAAAAAGGCAACTTACCCAGCATGTTTAACGTCCCAATCGTATTGGTCTTCAGTGTTTTGATGGGATTGTACATGTAGTTTGGGGGAGAGGCTGGGGATGCCAGATGGTATATCTGGTCAACTAAAGGAGGCAAAAGAGAAGCACATTATTTCCAAGAAAAATGATTAAGAAGAGATCTTGAACTTCTAGGGACTACAGTGTCAATAAAAGTGCTAATTTATCTTTGGCTGAAATTCTACTTTCGTCATGTTGTTCCTTTTAGGAACCAACTTACATTGTAGTAAGAGCTTTAAACAAAAACAAAATCTAGTTATCTGGGAATAGCACCTGTGCTGTTCCAGTAAGTCCAGTCTGCTTTCCTTTAACTGCAGCCAGTCTGATGATGGAGTCTACAGCTTTCTGAGATGGGTATTTATCCCACAAAACCATTCACATCAAGACAATGACTTTCAAGACAGAGAACTGAATACCAATATCTAAAGTAAACTTTTAGCTTGTGAAGTAAATCTGACATTGAAAGCAAAGATGTGAAACTATGGAAGAAAACACTGTTTGTTTTGTTTTTATGTACACCATGTACACGAAACCAGGCCCTGATGAGAGGCAGGGACAGTGGTTTTAAAGCTACTGACAGCAAAACAATCCAGATCCCACAGGGCTTCCCTTTCACACAGCATTCATTTTAATATCACTATCCCATAGCCCTCTGCTCCTTGGTCAGGAGCCATCTGCACCAGGCAGAGGCTGTGGGATCAGCTGCTTCCTGTGAAACAGCAGTGATGATGGAGAAGCACAGGTGAGGAGAGCCATCTACCAGACAGTCTGCACCACGTCAATTCACTTTAGCTACAAGATAACATAGGACTGTCACAGTGGAGCTGAGAACCAGGGAGCAGAAAGTGATGCCACCAAAATGAATCCCCTTTAGCACACTTCCGCCCGCCCAGGTAAGAGGCCTACAGGGAATCCTCTGCCTCCATCCTCCCAGTTCCTCAGGGCTGGCTGCCCTCCTGCATACCTGTGACCCTGTTCTCTCCCTAAGGGATTAGTGCTGTCTCTTAGTTGCAGTTCTTGTAGGACTGTACTGGTATTTAAAAGAGGTACCTGCCATAAAGAGTGAGCCTGGCCACTCCCCGATGTCTCGCTCCCCGTCTACAAGCTCACGTGTGTCTCCCCCCACCCCCCATAGATCCACCATGTGGCCCTCACAGGAACCCACTGCTGATGCATGCTCTTGAACCTTCAGAAGTGTGAGGAGCTTTCAGAAGTGTGAACTGCATAAAACCTGTTTTCTTTATATATTACCTTGAGCTTGGTATTCAGTGATAATAACTCAAAATGTACTAAGAGAGTCAGGAAGGTGACATCTAGTGAGGGAGCTCCAGACTAGGGCACTTGGGAATTTTATATAGTTTTTAAAAAGTGAAGTACAGAAAATATTTAGTTAATTTCAAAATAGAAGGACAGCTTAATGACAAAATAGTTGTTTTCAAGAAAACTAAGAAAACATAAAACTTCCTAAAATGCCTGAATCTGTCAATACGCAAATTCAATGAAAGAAGCTGTCCAAATGACAGGACAGTCCTGTTATCTTCACCCTCGCCAGACCAAGGCTTCAGTGAACTGTGCAATGCAACACAGGCAAGCCCACCAGAAAGAGGAGGACTGCGAGCTTCTGATTCTCTTGCCGCTAATCCCAGGTGACAGGATTACAGCTGTGTACCTTAGCTACAAAGCAAGTTGAAGTCAGTCTGCGCTGAGACCCTGTCCTAAGGAGGAGGGGAAAAAAAAGACTAAGTGTGAGCACACAGTACCTTCCTGACATCAAACAGAAACCATCAGGCTGTAAGCTGCCCTTCTTCCCATCCCTCCAGCCCAACCTTCTTTAAGGCTTACTCCCTGATGCTAGTTTGTGTGGGAAGCTTTCTACTGCCCCCATTGGAAATGATCCCTCCTGTGGCTGGCTACTCATGCTGCTAGCTCGTGAGTTCAGGCTACCTCATCAACTGTCAACTGATCCTCTCGCAGTCAGCAAGCTACCTGAGCACAGCAGTTTGTTTGTCTTTCCATCTGTAGGACACAGTGACCTGAGCACCGCAAACACAGAATCCTGAGCCTACTGCAGGTCAGCTCCATCATCTCCTAGTGGTGTTGGAAACTGTCAATGGAAAACAAAGGGCCTTCCTTCCACAGTGCTTCAGTCCAGGCCCCTGGGAGAAGTGCTGTGTTAACAGAGATGAGAATAAACTGGGGCTTGTCCATCTCCAAGGCTACCCCATCTGCTGTGTTCCTTCCCATCATCTGACAGTCAGCTTAGTCCTCCTGATGCTTCTAGAAAGCTAAGGGATGCTTAAAGAGGGCCCCTATTTACACCGACACTGGTATAGAGGCAAACCTAGAAACTATACGAAAGCCCGAGTTCTGCACGGGCCAGTTCCCTGTGCACACGTGAACAGCCTGTAACACTGTTGACAGTAAGCCCTGTTCTTATCCTAAAAAGGACACTGTAGAGATTCTGTTGACTTTGTTAATCTGGTAAGGAATTATGAAAAGGAGAGGGAAACTTCAGAGCAGGGGGCAACAGGCAGGAATGTGAGATGCTACAGATATTAATAACTGGCTCTGGAATGTAAATAAAGTCAAAGTTAATAATACTGAAGGCTCAGAGAAAAAAGGCCTGGGAACATGTCAGCTGTGGAGTTCAAAGTACAGCAAAAATGAGCATGAGGCTAAAAAACCCAGACTGGAGGTGGAGAGGGGCTGCCAAGTGGGCAAGGGGCCTGCCCACCTGCTGGCTGCACCTACCATACCATGCTGCCTCTGGATGTGAGCAGCTCAGTGACCTTGCCTTGATCCTTTTGCATTTACAAAGACATGAGCTGTCATCTTAGCTAGGAAAAAGAACCTCAAAAAAGGAATCCCAAAGACCTCCAATCACCAAGAGCATGGTTCCCAGAGGTCAGGTACCTTCTGGTATATTGGGAAGAGTGGGGGGAGGATAGTACTGAGGCCTGCTGGGGGAAGGGAGAAACTCAACCAGCACTACTACAAAGGTGTTTCCCGGGTGTTCTGCTGATGGGAAAGAAAAAACCAACATGCCATGCATACGGAACAAGTACTTTCGGGAGAACTCTGAAAAATTTTCAGAAGCTGCCAGAGAAATCAGACATTCATCTTCCACCAGTGAGAGACTGTATAAGGCCGACTGCAGGTTAGCACGCCCCTCTCACTGTGCTCAAGTTCCTGCTGTCCCAGTGGTGTCAAAGTCCCTCTGGGGATAAGGCCATGCCATACAGCACTGGTATGCACCAGCTAAGGTCTGCATTCTGACAGTGAAGCCTGAAGTACTGAAAGCAAAAACAGAGGTGCGGCTCTTTCTGTGAATATGTGCTTAAAGAAACCTATAGGATTCTCTTTTCTACACTCCCCAAACACCTGGCAGAAAGAGCCCTCCATCTCCACGGCTTCTGTACCCACAGATGAGAAATTGCTCTGTAGGAAGCCCTTTGCTCCAAATTAAACCACAGACCAAACTCCCAAGACTGAACATGTATGGCCTTGCTGTCACTATTCCACCGGGACAACCATGACACTGCAGTTATGGCACATAAGGCACCATGTGTCATCTCAGGGTGATGTCAAGCAGCCAGGTGGCTGTGCACATGCTCTCTGCAGCTACTTCATCAGTGTGTAGCAGGGACTGAGCATCTATGGATCATGGTATCCACAGGGTCTGGAACTCATCCTCCATGGGCACCGAGGGATTGACTACTCTTTACATGTGCACCCTAACGTGAAGCCCGCAGCATGGCCCTTAACAAAGTAGTTACAATGAAAACAGCATTCCAGAAGATGCACAACGTTCCATTCCTCTCAGCTAAAGGAAAAGCTGGATTGTGCCTGGATTCATATCAAGCAGAACATCCTTCATGTGAAGACAGCACATGCCAGCGGTCTGGCTAGTCTGGGGCTGAGGCATCCCAGACTTTCTGCCCTGTGTGTCACCTCAGTGCCCCACATTAAACAGACAGGACCTCAGAGACCCTCCATCTCTTCAGTGTATGCTTACACTTACAGCACAAAGTGGAAGCTCATACAGAAACCCCCAAGTTATAATTCAATAAAAATACTCTCAAGCACAGCATGCCTCAAATATCTATATACGCATCCCTCTGCAAGCACGTTTTCCACCCCCGCAACTTTTCACACTGGGTGTGCCTGGGGTGGGGGGCAGCTTCTCCTTATTTCCTTCTCTTGGTGTCTTCTCCCTATGGCTTCTCACAAGATTGTCTGGGTGAAGGCAAACAACAGAAGGGGCTCTGTGCCTCGGTTTCCTCTTCTGTAAAATGAGAACAGCTGCCCGTGTCACAAGAGTACTCGGGGAGCTGAGCTTGCTAAGCGCAGGCAGGGGTTAGACTAGAAATGCTAGCCGGTCATCTTCACCTTTTATTTTCCTGAGCTCTTTCACATGGCACTGCTAACTCCAGGTACCGGCAGTGCTGTTTTTGTCTGAGCTCTACAGAAATACCGGTCTCGACATTCTCATTTATGCAAGTAGTGGAAAAGCAAACAGGAAGCGCTTTCAGAACAGTGCAGTCTTTATGCCTCAGGAGCCTGAACAGTCCCAGGGTGATGAAGACAGAGGCACAGAGGCGCGTGCACATAGGGTGGCTTTCTCAAGCAGGTTTATGATGGCACCAATTGCCAACACTGAGGAATAATGACCCTGTACTATGTCCATGTGATGGAAATTTTATAATAAATAATGCTAAAGTGGGGCAGTATCACTGTAAAGGGATCTGGTATGGCCATATCACAAAATACTAAGCAGCTGCTCAAAAGAATTAAGCAGCTTTCTATGTATGAACACAAGCGTCTGAGGAAGCAAGTGGCAAGCAGGGCAACACATCACAGGCCGCTCTCTCGAGGAAGAAGTAGGAACAGTCATCTGTGCTCACTGGTCAGACACCACAAAGGAAGGATGTTATCTATAGCAGTTTCCTGAGGAAAGTTGGGACTGGACACATGAGAATTTTTACAATGTTTATTTTTAATTTTTCACAAATTAGAACTACAGAATTACACTGCCTATTACATGTTTTTATTTTTTTTAAATGACA